AGTATTGTACTATGATTAACAAATCAGCTTAAGCTGCAACTGTAGCAATGATTTTTTATGAGAAGTCAGACAAATGCAGTTTGAAACATTTTAATGTCTTTCAATCTACAAATAGAGAGTTGTTGGAGCTGTTGGTCTTTGCAGCAAGTTTCAGTCCCTGCAGCCCTAAAAGCTAGGCAGCATTGGGCTACAGGGAACCGAGCCCTCATCCCAGGTCCTCATGCCTGTTGCTGTGCAGCAGCTCTGACAGGCTGTCAGTGCTAACTCCCAGCTGGCTGCAGGCTTCCCGACCACCTGGTCTGCCCACAACAGGGCAGACCCCTCTGGGCAGCCTCAGTCACAATGTCACCAAGAGCCACCAAGACCTCCAGTGTGATCAAGGTGTCTCACCAGCAGCAGTGCACCTCAGGCAGCTGGAGAAAGCATCACCTCTTGCCACCTCTGCCTGACCCCAAAAAGAGTCTGCCCATCACCTGGATCCCTTGGGGGTCTGCCCTACACCCCCCTCCTCAGCCTGATCCTGCAGACAGGGAAGTGCAGCAGCAGTGATCCACTTTTGCAAGAGCTGGTGTGTAATCCCTTCCCCTTGGTCCCAGTAGACTTGCAGCAGCAGCTTCTTCATTGAACAGATGGATGTACACACAACACACATAGGGCTGAGTGGAAAATCCTGGCCCACATTAATAAACATAGAGACTCAGTCCCAAAACATTCAGGGTGGTGCCATGATTAAAGCTACTTGATGCTGTAGGGCATAACTGGTGTTCTCATTCCCATCAAGCCACAGAAGACTTTATTTCTGGTAAGCTGGTAAGATTCACACCAGTACTACATGATATACTCTTTCTGTTCTTTAAGCCTCTTTGACTTCTCTACCATTAAAAGCAGCTCTGTGAAAACAGCTGAGGGATGGAGAAGCGCAAGATGGGAGCTCTGCGTTTATTGTCTGCAGTGACTAATATGCACTGCTACTGTCAAGGCTTTTCCTCCTCTTGTGTGTCTACAGGGGCACCTCAAGCATAAAGCTGTCACTTCTTTGCAGAAAAAGTCTCTGGTCCCGCCTGACCACTGCTAGCTGCCCAAGACCCCTCACTGTCTAGGCAGGGAGGGAACCTGAGTACCCCACCAAATCTCTCCCTGTGATAGTCGTCTTCTTCAGGTAGTCAATGGGATTTCCAGGTAATTCTCACAAAGCTGAGTAATATTTATTAAAAACAAAAACATTTTGTAGGAAAGGACATCAAGGGATGATAAACACAAGACAGTTCACCCAGGCAGCCCCCCATCTTCCTGTGGCTGAATGAACAAACATGACAACAGGAGTCCCTCCAGCAGTTTTCTCTCCAGCTCACCTTACTTTACAAACTGAGTCTCCATACATTGACTGAGGCTAGCCATTTGACCTTTTTTTTTGTCACATCTACCAGACCTGGCCAGAAAGGTCCTGTTTTTGCCAGTCCTCAGGGATAAATCTTTCAAGGCTACTTTCTCAGAGGATGGCTTTAGGGATTAACTACCAGCTCCACCTCCTGCCCTGCCCTTTGCTTCCCCAGAAAGCTCAGAAATACAGCTGTTAGCAAGCCTGTCAAAAACCATAAAAGTAATGCAATTAGCCCTGAAACACGCCGTGACTGCAGCATCTGGTTGCAGCTACTACCAATCCGGAAAAGCCTTCCAGCCTCCATCTGTCAGTGTGCCTGTGAACGGCTGGCCAGGGCCCAGCCTGAGCTGCTGTTCTCTGCTTCTGATTTACAGGAGTTCCTCCACTGCACTGGGGAAGCTTCCTCTCCTTGCTCTCCTTCAAGTCCCAAGGCACTTACATCATGCACTAATTACACCAGATCTCCTGTTTGTTCCAAGCACATGGGGGTTTGTTTCCTTTCACAATGACCTCACACATTTTTATACACTTCTCAAATTTTGTTTCTGCTTGTTCTAGTCCCAGTGATCTGCTGTTCACACCACTTAGTTCTCCTTTTCATGCTGTTCATTACATAATTTTGACAACTTTTTATCTGCTAACACAAAGGCTGCCAGGTTCTGCTCTGGTATCTCTGATTTTCCTTCAAACAGCTCTTTCAAAAAGCCATCTCCATGACTTCTGTTAGCTAGTATATTTGAGAAGAACATAGGTAATATTTGGAGACACATGATTCCCTGCTGTGAATTTCTGAATGGGAAATAAAATTGAGAAAAGCTTTTTTTTTATTCTTTGTCATCCCACATCAGTTTCCATGGTCCCCAATGCACAGGAATATTAAAGATAAAAACCAGATAAAGTAGAAATTATCAGGCATCTACTTGTTCTCAATGCTCCTCTCTTCCATTACTACCCCTATCTCTTGACTAAATCATGTTTCCAGCAGGATCAACCACACAGGGGAAGGCACTGTGACAGCTCTTCCAGCACAGCTGCTTGCCCTGGCGGAATGCATCACAAGGCTGCCTTCCTTCAGTAAAAGAATACAAAATTTCACAACTATGGTGTTCCCTTGCATATGTTGTCTATTTACTTCACTCAACACACCTCTTCTTTGTTTACACAAGTGCACATGATGTGTGGTGGTGGAGAATGCCTGTAAGTCTGCTTTGTGTTATGTGCTTAGCACATCTCAGCTTGGCCAAGGCAAACCTGCCCAGTGTAGTCCACATAGCTTTGGTGGCACTTCTTTGAAGAAAAATCCACCAGATCTGCAACCCATGGCAAAGTGTTGGCCAGCACCCCACAGGGGAGCCAACACAAGGAATTTAGCAAGTCAGACCATGCAACAAGGGACTCTTGTTGTGTTTTAAAAAGGGGTATTTCTAAGGCCATGCTTCTCCTCAGTCTAAGAGTTCGAGAAAGGGAAGAAAGAGATGCTCCAACCCAGTCAACCCTGATTTGGCAGCTGCATTTCTGGATTTCCATTAATCTGGAAGACTTTGTACTTTAAAACTTCAGTTGAGCAGCATCCTTGGTGTGCTCCAAAGGGGTTAAACTAAAAGCTTGTGGTGATAACCAACTAAGGAAGCTCCGAAGCAAACCTGGACTCAGGGAAGCAGGAAGACTCTGGTCACAGCAAGCAGCAGCCTTGGGAGGGAGAGGACAAGCAAGCTTTGGAGTTTAGGTGAGCAGAGAACAAAAGTCATCATGACTTGACTTAGGTGCATGAGTGAATAGAGTCACAGCATTCATGGGGGGTCCTGAGCCAGGACCTTTCTCTTGAGGAAAGAAAAAACCTCAACTGGTGGCCTTCTGGAGTGCATCTGCGAACTACAGGCATGTACTAAGTGAAAGATTATAAAAGCAAAACTTTACTGCATGGATCTGCTCTCTTGGCACCTGCCAAACCACCTGGCCTTACTGCATTACCCTGAGAAACATTCATCTGCCTAAACACTTGTCTTTCCCAGCTACATCAGTTCAACTAAAGCGTAACCTTTGTCCACAAGCCTTATCCCTCTGAAGGAAGTTATAAATGTACTTGGCTTGTAGAAATTACATTTATTCTGATACTTAGCTGGGTCCCAGGTCCTACACATGTGGAAAGAAAAAAATCAAAATATTTGGTTTCATTGACTTCAGAAGGTGAACTCCAATGAGTTCATTTTCCTGCTTTCCATAAACTTGGCAATTTTATGCTCTTTTTATACCAGAATCATTAGAATGATTGGCAGGCTCATGGTGGGCTGATAAATGATCTCACATCACAAAATACAAACAGAACTGCAAACAGATAAGGCACATACATGAGCTGAAGTAGCTGGCTACAGAAAGAGCTTACAAGTGAGCTAATCAGATCTTCACAGGTGCTGGCAGTAACCTGGTCAAAGGTCACCTGAGGGAACTTGCCTAACCATATTGTCAGTTTCCAAACACTGTTGGTCACAGTAATGGGTTCATCACTGGCTGCTGGTGGGGCAGCCTCTTGGCTGCTGCTCTATTTACTCAATAGCCACTCTCGAGTAACCCACCCTAAGCAAGAAAGCAGCTGCAGTAACTCATCTTCTGCCCTGAAAGGTTCATCCTGGACCAGGAATATGCAATGGTGAAGATTCAGCATCCACAACCACAAAACCTGCAGCCAAGGGAGACACTCTTGATGTTCAACATCACAACTGTAAGGACCCATGGCCAGTATTTCCTGGAGTTCTACAAAAAGTCCATCAATTAACCACTCAAAGACTAGTTTCAGTTTATTAGAGATGCTTCTAGGCTTTCAGTCCTGTACATCATTCCTACCTGGCAGGAGGCTGGTAGCAATTGAGGAAGTTTGTCAGGTGTACGACAGACTGAGCCAAACCCCACAATATTGGAGAATGGAGTTTTTTGAAGGTTTATCAAAATAGCCCCATGTAATGTAACTGTAATCTCTAGAACATCTCACACACCCTAAGGGAATGGACAGTAGTTGTACATTTAAACCTGAAATCCATCCTTGTTACTGCAGATTTAAGTATAACCTGTTGTACCATCACATTTATTAGATATTGATAACCTTCTGTCCAGAGATGCTCGCCAACAGATTTTTGATTCAAGTATAATGCATACAGCATCCTAACTCTTCCCTTTGAGCAGAAAGTACACTTCAAATGATACATATCCACACTCCATGGTAGAGTACATACTTTGCAAGCTGAGCACAGGGACTCTAGTCATAACCCTAATCCTACAAGGGAACTACTTTCAACAAATATAACTTCAGACCAAGTACACTTGGAAATTGTTAAAAATGGAAAAATTAAAAAGGAAGTTAATTTCACAGTCCAGGAAGTCAGAAATTCAACCTACCAAGGCTACTCTGAGCTTTGTTGTTATTTCTTCTTCAATCATTACTTTCCATGCCTATTAGCTGAGTAGCCAATTTAAAAAATACAAAATGCTACAAATAAAAAGGCAGGAACTAAAGCTTGATTTTGTTTGTTTGTTTGTTTGTTTTGGGGTTGGGTTTTTTGTTTTGTTTTTTGACCTGCAACTTGCATATATTAATTAACCCCAGAATGACTTTTCTGTTTTTAAGGGAATTACAGCAAACTGCACAGTGATGGTCTGAACATCCATAAGATTCACAAAGTATTTTACAGGATGCTGTGGGCATCTGTGGGGAGGGGCTGATGCTCTAGAGTTCCTTCCCCTGTGCCTCAGCAGTCTCTAGTACCACTGGAAGAAGTCTCAGTTGTGGATCTTCTGCCCAGAGCCAGATATATGAACTACCCAGAACCAATGAGGATCACTTGGTATCAAAAGCAAAAGACACCTCCTTCTGAATACTCCAATCTAAGGGAACAGAAAGAGATGGATGCCAATCAATGTCATGAATGTTTAGGCATCTAGGAGATTCAGGAAACAGTATTTTGCTTCATACAAGGTATCTAACTGCTGATTACAAAGAACAAGAATTTTGATACATTTTAGCTTCCCTGGGCTTTGTGTTTTAACTAATATAGCCAGTCAAAGTCTTCTTTGTAACTGAGTCCAAGTCAGTGTACAATCTAATACATCTGGATTAATTTCTGGGCATTGAGGTCACCCAGAATAGGCACAGGGCTCTGCCATTTGTCTGGCCAAGTCCACTCTTCACATTTGTCATGTCCTGGTGGCCTCTCTGCTTCCCCTTGTTACACAATGGTAACAAATTAATTCCTTCAGGCATCCCCTTCAAACACTCCCAAGCTGCCCTGAGATACTTGTCATCACAGATGCTAGGACCTTATTCTTAACAAAAGCCCCAAATATTTCTATCTTTTTTTCTAGATTACATTTGAAGTGAAAAGCTAATGAGAATTTTGGTTAATTTTAGCACTTATTTCAATATCATTCCAGTGAGTATCCAGTATTATTCTTGGGTAATTGCTCACAAAGGAATTTAGCACACCCCACTTGAACGGTAAGGCACATTTATCAAGACTGAAATAGAACCTCAGATATAAATGAGTCAATGAAAAAATCTACCAATCTGGCCCTGACAGTTCACAACACTGTTTTCTTCAGGATGCCCTAACTGACTACTTTTTCGTGGTAAGTAAGCAAAGTAAGCAAAAACTCGTCAAAACTTTCCCAAGTAATATAGTTTATGGCCTCTCATTAATTTTTTTCTATTATTATTTTTTCTCCTAAAGGATTACTAAGGCTACTAAGTCTTATTCTACTTTCTCTGTATCCTAAATATCCTAGGGTGATGACATAGACATTAATGAAGTTTAGGTAAATCCATAAACCACCATTTGAATTAACTTACCCTAGTACACTAGGCACTTAACACTACCCCTAGGGAGTGGTTCCCTTCCAAATGTGTCACCCAGTTTATTGCTTACAGTGTAGTCAAGGGACCCAAAAAGCCACCAGCAGATCTAACTTGCATCCTCCCAGCTGGCTGTTAATACTCAAGAGTGGTCACAGAGGGATGCTTAGGTAAGAATTAAGTGTAAAACAGGCACACTGCAATACTATTCCCTGTTACCTCCCAGTTCCTGGTGCCATTTTCCAGTGTGGAGGACTGCCTGTGCTGTTTGTGATACTAACTGTATCAACATATGAGCCCAACTAAGCAGCATGTGCCTTGCATTTATTCAAAATAAAAAGAAACTATGCAGAAAATAAACCCCACAGAAATAACTTTTCTCTATCTGCCAAGCTTTGTGTGGTCTTTCTAAAAGCAGTCCTTACTCCAGTTTTTCTGAGAATGCCTTTTAGTGTTGCATTTGCTATAAAGTATAGCTCAGAACTGAGACAAGGCAAATGCTGGAATGCTTGAAGGTGTTACCAAAGTTCACACAGCATCAACAAACACATTCAGCACCGGTCCCAACACATTTTCTGTGTGTTTACAGCTTCCACAGGAACAGAAAATAGTGAAATCTCTGCTGAAAAAGTATCTTCTGCAAATGTACATCCCTTGGGAAGAAATCGGTGCCAGAAGCTTGAGCTGAACACATGTGAGGACTCCCATTTGCTGCTCTCCACACTTGACAGTGCCAGCACGAGTCACTGGCAATGACTCATCACTTTGTTTCTAGTGAAATAATTCAAGAAACAGATTTTCAAGTCTGCCCCAGCAGCTGATCCCACCAGTTTTGCCTGTTACCCTTGGGAGTCAGAAACTTCGGCTGCTTGCAGAGAGCTTATTGTTTACTGAAGAAATCTGAAGTAGTGCTCATCCAAGAAGCATCAATGGACATCTTTGGGAATACAGAGACAATTAAATCTTTATTAAATGTTAATGAGTGATTATACTAGCTCCACAACTGTTATTTTGAGTTCAAATTTGACACATATGCTGCTCAACTCTTAGAAGTGAAGGGTAGGACTGTTTTTTCCCACCTCTGTTGCAAGCTACAAACCCAAATAGCATCAACAGCTGCTTCACAACTCATATACAAGAGACATTTGCCCTACGGTATCAGTGCAGCTTTCTGACATGGTCCCCAGCCTCTCCCTCTGATGTAGAGCAGGAGAGGAGAAAGACCCACTTCCAGAGCACACAGAGGGTAAAACTCACAGAGCTGCTGCTCCTCAGAAGCTGAGAGTAAACTAGGCCACAGAAGAGGATGCCTGCCAAGTTTTATCTTGTAAAACAAGTGGAATATTTATGACCATTGGGAACTTGGAAAAAAACAAAAAGACAACTTTTCAATGCATGATACTGAAATAACCCGAAGTATCGAGCCAGCATTTCTATAACTGTAGTGCTCCTACAGAGAAAAGAAAGTACAAGGCTCACATACCAGTCTTCAAAAGGCTGGTCTCTAATGCTACCAAGAAGCTGATCCAAGCTGACCTAGTATACCACAATCACCTAAGGCCAAAAATCTTCACATTCAGAATTTACGAAAATGTAATGTTACAAGCTGACTGCATTTAAAAAAATAAAAATTTTAATGAGGGATAATCAATAAAATACATCATGCAAATAGGCAACTAAATTTTCTGTAAATTTTCAGAAGCAAAAAACCACAACGATTTAGAAAGCAAGGGATACAGCATGCAATACAAAGAAAGCAACAAAACACAAATATTCATATACTTGGTTGTTTCCTTGCCTTTAAAACTGCTGTATTTTATTTTCTTTTCCACAGAAGGTGTTTTTTTGGTTTGGAATTCTTTTCTTCCATGTCGGCTTTTTAAAAATCTGATTTTAAAAAGAAATCGAAGTCTTCTCTACCTTCTAGCTTTTGCAAATAAAGAAATTGGTTCTTTGCCATGTTTCCAACTCTTGAAACAAAGTGTAAGACTAGTAACAGTCAGGAAACTGACCTCAAGAAATGCCCAGGGTTGTCCTTGCAATGGGCAGGGACCTTACATTGTGGAGGAAAATGTCTCTGCTTCCTAGCTGTTCTCAGACCTGTGAACCAGTCTGTTTCAGGAGAATATAGACTGATTCCAGCAGGGGAGTCCCAGAAAAGTGCTGTCTTACCTCTGTATCACCCTTTTCTCCAGCCACATTGTGTTCTTTATCACAGCATGTTATTACTGACACTCCTTGGCTATTATTACCAACAATCCTCGGTTGGCTCCATGGCTATCCAACTATCAGTGTTTGAGACATATATATTAGCCTCTTATGTCCTAGGCTTCTACAAGAAACAATTCAGTAGTATATGAGGGCTTAAATTCTGCAACAAATATAAAAGTGGAAAGAAAATTATATCAAGAAGTTCTGTCTAATCATGGCCTGCAGGACTGCATGGCAGACATGCGCATTCCCTACTGACTAATTTTAGTGGTTAAAATGGATGAAGATATGCCCCACCAGGCACTCACTTGGAGAACACAGTGCACAGGCTTGCTCATGCTGGTGTGGCCTGCACCAGTGTCTCTGGTCCGGCTCATCACTTTACTGGTTTGCTCATTACACATCTCTCTCCAATAGAGAGAGGCTGTGAGGCTAGAGCAGCATGTTACTATGTTGCTATGAGGACCCTTCAGTCTGCCACCCTTCTCTCTCGGGATTGACTGCAGTACAAGACAGGTCATACACACACTGTACAAAATAGGATGGCACAATCACTGAATCCGAAAAGGTACCACTCATGACAGTGGTTCAGCTCATGCATGCATGTGTTCAGCAAGCAACAATTCAATTTTCCAGTAAGTTTCAAAGATAAAGCATTTTTTTCTCCTTTCACAGAGTTGTCTGAATATCTTCAAAACATGAACTTCTGTTGAGATTTCTTACTGCTTTGGGCTTCAGCTGGAACTCTTCCTCTCTCTCTCTCCCCCTCTCTCCCTGTCTCTTCCTCTTTTTCCCTCTCCAAGCCCCTGACTTTCACTCTCTCTCTCTCTAATCAAAAAGAAACACCAAAGATGATGGATTCCATATGCAATGCTGCAGTAAGTGGTTACTTTATCTGTCTTAAAAACAATGGTCTAACCTGCAGGCCGACTAAAGGCGTAGCAGTGCAACTCCCTTCTAGATACATAACAGAAAACACAAAATGATCTATCAAAAAGAAACAGCACAAACACTAAGCAGCTATGGAAAGGTTAGCTAACAGAAAAATATCTAGCTGACCTACCACATGAAAAGATTATCAGAGTCCCCTGTTATTAAGGTGTGGTTGATCATGTAGCTCTATTTTTGGCTTCAACACCCAGCAGCTGTGAAGTCTACTCCAAGTTCATACTAAAACAAATACTGATTACAGCTCTCTGCTTTTTTACCTACCTGTGGTAGTCCAAACTACACATACCACTCATCTTATTTCCATATAAGACAACTTCACTGTGCAAAGTTCTCTCTTCTTCTCCAAACAAACTACTGTCCTAATAACTCTCCAGTTTGACACTTAGTTTAAAATAACAACTGGAAATGGCTATATTTAGAGAACAATCTGGTATTGGTATAAAGCCTCTCATGTTTCCACTCAAGCACACAAGAACATCCTTGGCCAGAAAAGAAAGCCGTCTGCAAAAGGTCTTGTAAGAATTAAAATGCAAACCAATGACTATATAGGAACTGCATAGGAACTAATAAAGATTCATTTGTTTTCACTCCTTCTGCTTGTTAGTGAACCTCAACTGATCTTCTAAAAAGCGCAGCTTGGATTAACATTGCCTAGCTATATGGATGCACTTTTAAAATGTTACAGGTCACTCTATTTGAAATTCCATAAGCTACATCTTAAAATGAAGCATTCATCTAGCTGCATCTAGGTTTTTGAAGATATATATGAAGATGTTACTAACTGGCTTGATAATGGTAAGTATTGTGAAGCTCAATATGCAACTGCAGATGCAGATACTACGCAAGCCAGTATATTGCCAAAGACTAGAAAACAGACTTTATTCTGCACACTAACAGATTCTATCATTGTTTGTGTCCAGGACACTACCACGTCTCTGAGACATATCTATATGGGAAAAAAATATCAAGTAAATCCAGTTTTATTAAATAAAATTATTGTTGCTACATTTGGTACACTTTTAAAATCCAGGTACCAGGATACTTGCATTTACAGTTTGCATTTGCATGTATACTATAGCACTCAAGGCAGTTTTTAGTTCCCTTTATAGGAACTTGGGAATTTACACAGGCACAAGTTTGTTTATGCTACGGAAAATCATAAACCACTGATCTTCTAATTACTGGAAAGGTCCCAGATTTGTTCACAGCTATGGGAGCAAACTGCTGCATAAGCTACAGCTCAAAGCCAGAGCAGTGTGAAAGCTCTTCATTTTCTTGCTGTCTGTATTGAGTAAATTTTCTGAAAAGAACTGCTACGGATGACACCAAATTTTAAGGCACTATAATGAAAAATTACTTACTGTAGAGGTAAAATATAAAATTAACGGCATTATTCCTGCTCTGCTACAGATTTTCATGTTGTTCTACCACAATCAGAACAAAATTGGCTATCACCTGACACTTGGGTACTCAGATATGATTTCCCTGGGATAATAAATATCTCAATAAGATTGTGAAGCATGAAGAAATGTGTCACCAGGTCTCTGGTCTGCTGGTTTCAGCTCCTACTTACAGCTCATAAATTATTGTGATAGTTTGCCACAAGTGTTTACATGTCTAAGACGAGGACTACTTCAATGTACACCAGGCATCTGGCATGTGGGGGAAGGGGAGAAGAAGACATTTGCTAAGAGAAGACAACAGCAATAAATACTGACAATGAACTGCATGTCAGCTTGAGAGTACGTGGCTTGGGAGAATTAAGGACTCTATTTCCCAACCAGACTCAAAAGAGACAGCACAGACATCTACATCTGTTTCATCACTTGCCTGAAACTATTCC